TCAGCTAAATGGCCTCCGGCCTTCAGATACTTCAAAACAAATTACCAACACATTTCTTACGCCAAATAATATATCCAAACGCACTTATGCAAGCCAAAAGTAATTTATATCATTTAGTTTTCTCAACCAATTTAGCATACGAGGCTCCAACCTCCTAACACAAACGCATCTCATTCTCACTAAAATAGTATGACCAACTACCAGGTCCGTATCATACTCAATAAAACCACCTAAGTGGAGTCTAATCTGTGGCTGCACCTAGTAACTTCAGGCTGCCTACGTACCCTACTAAGGGATCAAGTCACACGTAGTTCTTTCGTGTCAATCCTGGCTCCTAATATCAAATAAACCATTACAGCCATACAAATTCATACATTCTAGGATTTATCCATCACAACTCACCAAACACAATCACATAGCACCTCTCATACGTCGGGGACGTACCCGGCCACGTATGTGGTCTGTCAACACGCCAGCTACTCCTACGACACGTGCGACCTCAACACAATCACAATATCTCCCCTCATACAACGGAACGCACCCGGCCTCGTATGGGGTCTGTCAACACATCGTCTACTCCTACGACACGTGCGACCTCAACACAATATCACATCACCCTTCATACGACGGGACGCACCCGACCACGTATGAGGTCTATCAACATGTCGGCTACTCCTACGACACGTGCGACCTCAACACAATATCACATCCCCCTTCATACGACGGGACGCACCCGGCCACGTATGAGGTCTATCAACATGTCGGCTACTCCTACGACACGTGCGACCTCAACACAATATCACATCACCCTTCATACGACGGGACGCACCCGACCTCGTATGGGGTCTGTCAACACGCCAGCTATTCCTACGACACGTGCAACCTCAACACAATATCACATCACCCTTCATACGACGGGACGCACCTGGCCTCGTATGGGGTCCGTCAACACGCCGGCTATTCCTACGACACGTGCAACCTCAACACAATATCACATCACCCCTCATAAGACGAGACGCACCCGGCCTCGTATGAGGTCTGTCAACATGCCGGCTACTCCTACGACACGTGCGACCTTAACATAATAACAATATCACCCCTCATACAACGGGACGCACCCGGCCTCGTATGGGGTTTATCAAAACGCCGACTACTCCTACGACACGTGCGACCCATAGAGTGGTACTTACAGTATACTCGATAACTAGGGAGGTACATATGGTAGTGCGTATAGCACTCCAAACTGACATCTAAACTCTTTTATACTTTTGTATATACGCATAATTATATACATCACATATAATCCTCTATTTTGTAAATCTCAACCTTAGTATAGCATCCGAGAATTCCTCAATTTAAATAATATAATTATCATAAATTCACATCATCCACATCATCAAACAAGACCTGTCACTACGGTCATTTTAACTTTCCCAGGATGGTAACACTACCTAGGAATTCTCACGATCAACCCCGGGTCGAACTACCCAACCTTGGTCAAACTGGCCCACGGGGCCCACGACCTCCAAATTTCAATCCGACAATTTCTATGAATGCTACATGATTTAGGACACTCGTCCTGCAAGTTTGGTCAAGATCGGATGGTCGGATCGCTCCCGATCGCACGATCGGACGGTTACTAAAACCCTAACCCTAGGGTTGGCATTTCCGGAGTATCCGAGACTCCGTTTTACGATCCGTCGAATCCTACACGATCCTGGTAAAACCTAGATCAACATATTATAACTTCAGGATCATCCAACGGTCCAAACCTAGCGAACCTGGAAAATACGCAATATGTGATATCCGTTCGGGACTCTAACGGTATCCAAATTGAAATCCGAGCACACCTACGCTCTCGTGACAACGAGAGGATCGCATTGGGACAAAAATGCCCCTCAGTTACAGTGCCCAAGCTCCGCCACACGCGCTGGCAGCGTGTGGGTGTCCAAAGCGATATCGCATCGCCGGAAAACTTCCAAATCAAGAGTCAAGACTCCTACTGTAGGAAATACACCTAATTTGGAGTCACTTTTGTTTTGAACGTACCCCAAAAACTGACCGAAAGTGGCCTGAATCTCATCCCGAAATTCGGCTAAAATCTAATTCGTAAATCGAGTTGCCTACGCTACAAATTGATCAATTCCTACCCAATAGGCAGCTAGAGCTCGAAAAATAGATGAGAAAGCATACCTTGATCGCAAGATTTGGTGGCCGGAATCGTTGGAACGAGCTCCGAAAAATCTGGGTAAAAACCGGCCGTTTTTCTGCAATTTCCGGCGGTATCGCTGCTGGCTGACGTCGGAGAATAGGTGAGGCAGGACGGCGGAGTCAGGCCGGTCATTTTGGGACCGGTCTCGACCCGAGTGGTGGCCGAATGAATGAACGGTCGGCCAAAACGTGGCCGGCTGCGGTGGCGATCGCAAACCCGAGGAAAGAGAGAGAGGGACGCGCGGGGAGAGAGAGAGAGAGAGAGAGAGAGAGAGAGAGAGATGAGGACAATTCTATCTTTTTATCAAAAATCCCTTTTCCAAATAATTACGATCGTGTCCCTGAGTTTCATTCGATCATAACTCTCTCGTTACAACTCTGATTCGAGCCCACTACGTATCTACGGACTCATCTCGTTGTGCTCTACGCAACGGTATAGCCAGAATTCTCAAATTCCTTTCGGATAAGAAATAACCAAATTACCCCTATCCTAAGGGTAAATTCGTAATTCCACTTAAATAAATTAAAATAGCCAATAAATTTGGAGTCGGAGTGTTACAACGGGGGACACAAAAATAAAGCACATGGGACATATTAACTCATTTTGAAGTGTAGGTGACAGGTCCAGACCCAAATTTCACTTTGAAATTCGAGCCGAACCCTTTGCGTATTCGACACCTGGAAAGTGCCAGGCATAAATGACCAAATTGCCCATCTAAACCAAATCTAAAGAATTTCAAGCTCGACTTCTGCCGAAAATTCGGCAGAGTCTCCCCTGTAAATTAAACATTTCCCCAAAATTTCCACATGTAAAACAAGCATATATATTTATATATAATCCAACTGACAGCATATATCGAATTATATTCAAAAATCAAGCATCACACCATTCTGCTAACAACATTCAATTCAACTTCTTAGAACATCCCCAGAACAATGTTAGATTTCATAATAATTTAACTGGTCTACCTTTTTACCACTTGACCTCGCGTCTGCACCTATAATCTCTAGGTTGCCTACATACCCTTAACAAGGGATCAAGCCACATGTAGTTATTTCAAATACTCGTATCAATCATATACTGAATACAAATATGTCATACACTAAACTCCATTTATTTTAATTTAAGAATATCTCAGAACTAAAATTATCTCCACCTAGGCGTACCCCTCATTCCTGAACCGTCAATTCCATCCTTGCAGGCCTCGAAAACACCAAGTCTACTCGAGCCGCAATCCTCGCAAGCCTCGGAGATACCACTTCTATCCGAGTCGCAATCCTCGCAGGTCTTGAAGATATTACTTATATCCGAGTTGCAATCGTCGCAGGCCTCGGAGATACCACTTCTATCCGAGTAGCAATCCTTGTAGGCCTCGAAGATATTAGTTCTATCAGAGTCGCAATCCTCACAGGCCTCGGAGATGTCACTTCTATCCGAGTCGCAATCCTCGCACCACATGGTTCAGGGGTACTCGAAACATGTAGGGCATTATTTATAAATGACAATGTTTTAAGCAATTAGGTACCCTTGTGATGGGTTTGAAAAACCGGATCCCAAACTTATATCAATACTTTCCTTTTATTTCCCAATCTATTTCCTGGGCTTTATATCAACTTTCTGAAATCCAAACACTGAAATCTTCAATTGCCAAAATTTGAAATGATAGAAATCTACATTCCGTTATTTTAGAATACTATGTAATTTTCAATTCCTTCATCCAAACGGAGTGGTTTGCAATGAGCTTGCAGCTTATGTAGTTAAAAACATTATTCATGCACATGAACTTTCATGAAGATTTTCTCTCCAGCGCCGCGACCTAGCAAAACCCAGATCCAGAGCCGCATCTCCTCCTTTAAGGGGGGGAGGAGGCCTCTACCCCTCCCTCCATCTCTCTTCCTTGGTTTTTGATTTTCTTTTGCGGTTCGTGCTCGAGCTTTTTTGCTCATTTTTTGGGCTTTTTGCCTCTTTGCTAGGGTTTTATGCCTCTTTGCTGGGGCTATATGCTTATCTGCTGGGACTTTATGCCTCTCTGTTAGGGCTTCTTGCCTATTATCCTTATTGTTCCCTCAAATCTCTACCAATACACTATGCTCAGTGTTATCCCTTGGTTGTTCTCCAATCGATTCATGCTTCCCTTTGTTGTAGTAGATAACCCACAAAGCGATTTATCGCATTTATCTTGGAAGGTGTGTAGAGTCATAGCACTACTACGGCTCAGGTGCTTGCACCACCTCCTTCTTGTCCTGATGGTTCTATTTGTTTTGCCCTGGGGTTGCCTTGAGTGTTGCTGATTTATGATGGTTGTTTAATGTTGCTTTTGGGTTTTTGTGGTTATTGTTGCAATGTTGTTTTTAATTAATTTTTAGCTTTTTTAAATTAATTTTTAGTTTTGTTTATCTGTTGATATCATCATCTGAGGTAGTCTGTTGCTCTGTTCATATGATATTACAGATTATATATGTGATTCCTTGTATTGTTGTATTTGTTCCATCCTTTTGGGTGAGTTTTTCGTAATGAAATTTCATGCTTCGATTAAAATAAAAAATAAAAGTAATCAAACAAGAGAATTGTTAATTTTTCCTTTTAAATTTATAACTTTTAGCTAAATTCCGAATTATTTTCCCCTCATCTAGTCAGGGTGAGGGTGTCTTAAGATTTTTTTTATTTTTTATTATTTTTACAAGGGGCCTAAGTTCTCATCCCACCTTGTTTATAGGAAGAAACTTTTTCCACAATGACACTGATGTCTTCCCAATTGACCTATCTCCTTTCCCACGCACCACTTTCTCTTCCTCGAGACTTTCTCAACGTCATTTGCCTGCAAAACAATCGCCAAATGTTTTGTTACCCAAATTACCCTGAATGATATTGATAATTCCATCCATATCCATGTAATGCCAACTTAACCCATTTCTCTGTTACCCAAATTGAGACGCGCATCAAACTGGGAACCACGACTCCAAGGATCGTAGAGGTTCGCTCGCAGCCAACAAAATCTCACCATTTCTCCTCATCCCCACACCCATCATCTCCAGTCCCTACTCTACATCAGTAGTGAAAATATTATTTTCTTTTCTTACTCCACGACTTGGTTTTGGACTTGGACTTGGCCATCAGTCATCACCCCCGGTGTAGTGTATGCGGAAGATATACCTAGCTAGGTCCAAGCGTCCTGGTCCAGTGGAAGTTCTCTGGCCTTCTATAGTGAGTTGTTGAATTATTACACGGTGGCGGCTCTTGGTGCCATGCCTGCTATGAACAAGGTTGTTTTTTCTGCAATTGAATCCCCCAATATTTGATATATCCTTAGTAGTTGAATGAATGATATGTCAAATTTGTTTTCTTGGTTTTTATTTTTTATTCTGAAATATGTCTCTGATTTTGTTTCAAATGCTTATTTACGTAATTGGGTCACTATATCACTCAGCTGTATACAATGTATATTTGATGCAATTGCAGATTTCTATAAGTTAACTGTCGGTTCGTTGTAGGATGCCCATCGAGAAAAAATTATTGCTGACATACTACCTTTTTATTTTAGCTTTAATATAATTTAAATGAAAGGACTTGAGAAACATGTTTGGAGAAACTGATAATGTGGCATTGTTTTGAGAGATTCGCTTTCTTCTCACAAGTTTGTTTAACGTTTATGATAAGCTTCTATCCTTCCTCTTACAATGTTTTGGTCTATGGATTCTGGCTGCGAAGTACTTATGTTTCCCATTTAAAATTATTGGGTAACAATATTCTGGCTGCTTCTTGTTGATTTATTTATTTTGTGTTGGGGTAAGGCTTCCAGTGCTCACCAGATTTTCCGATTTTCTTTGTTTAATTTTATTCTTCTCTCTCTGTTTTTTAATTTTCCCTGGATGCCTTTGCTTGCTCATGATGTTTTCAATGAGTTTTTTTTCCTTCCAAGGAATGGTTGTTATATTGTTCTTATTTCCTTATATTTGCTTTCTATGCTTATGAAATTTTATGACTTAAGTTCTTGCTTATCAGAATTCTGAGCGAAGTCACATTGGGAACGTATTCAACAAGTTGCTGAAGCAGATTGGAAATCCTGTAGATTTTGAACTTCCAGATTGGTTTAATAAATGGAAACCGATGCCCTACACTTTTATAAAGCGCAGTATCCTCTTAAGTCTTAAACTCACTAATTTTAAATTTTTATTGAACGAACCTTTTCATGTTGGAAATTATCATTTTAATTTTATATACTTTAGTGCATGTTACATACCTATTGGGTTTTCTCTTCTTTTCTTTCCCCATGAAACACTCCTCACAGGTTGGACTTGCCATAGTTTAATATTTTTGTCATGCTGCCTTTCTCGGATATGTTCCATCTGTCTGTTTATTCAATGGTTTTATATGCGTTGGAAGTGTTTTTCAATTCTCTCTCCACTCTTAGTTTCGTTGACAAATTTAAGATATATATCTCACGAAGAAGATTAAAAGACGACTTGAGGATGATGGCATATTCTGTTCCTGCAGCCCATCACAAGGGTCTTCTAGTGTTTGCGGTAGAGATTGCCATTGTGGGTAAGGACGATCATTGTCAATGGTGTTTGTGTTACCTCATGTGTAATAAAGGAGCAATGTAAAGGTTGCATTTGATCATCTTGTACTGTACTTGTACATCATTTTGATCTTTTGGACATGGATATTTAACCATAGTCTGGTTTTTCCTAAATCCTAAATTTTTACTTTGAACTCTTATCTTGATAAAGTTTGGGTACAGGCGGTAAGTAAGTTATGCAAGGCATACCTTTTCGACAGGATTCCAGTCCAGTGAGTGGTGCTGTTTTATAAACATTGTTCATTGAGGGGGCATAGCTATTCGGCAGTGTTCCACTCAATTGAGGGATGCCTTTTCATAGAGAAGTGCAGGCATTTATACTACAGAAGAATATGCTTGCTGTGGGTTTTTGATTGTTTTTCATTTTCCTTTTGGAACTAATTAAGGGGATGAAACCTATGGTCGTGATGTTCGGTGACTTGCAACCTTAGGCATTATGATGTTATTGATGCAGGCAGATGTAGATATAAGGAAAAAGGGCCATTAATTTTCTATGTGATAGTGTATATTCAGGTTTTATTTTTTGTCTAAAACTAAATAAGTTGAATGTGTTATATCTGCAGGATGCTTCTGTCTAGCTGCTCCTCAGTCTGTAAATGTGGAAGTTCCTGTCTGAACAAACCATTCCAGCACCGGCCTGTGAAGAAGATGAAACTGGTGCAGGTAATGCGCCTTATGTTGGAATATAAATTGCAGTGGTTAAGATTTTGTTTATTTTTATTTTTCTGAAAAGATAATAGAAATAGAGAAAAATTTAATAGGTATGGGGGAGACTTGTAACTTCTTAAGAAGGGCAGGAGGAACTGCAGATATGAAATGCTCAAGTTTAAACATACAAATTAGCATAAGTTGAAGTTCTGTCTGAAGTAATAGCTTTTGTTAGTATCTATTTGGATGCTATTCAGGTTTTTTATGAACCACAAATCATATGAATTTATTTACTTTGCAGACCTTTTGATTCATGTTTTTACACATATAATAGCATAAGTTGAAGGCTGAAAGGTTCTTTGAAGAGATAGCTGACTCTCTATTCAGACATTTGTCTTCCATGTTGGTGGACATTTATTAAACTTGCATTATCTGCAATTTAGTTGGCGTCTGTTTTGCTACATTTCAGCAATATAACTATTCAACTCATTGTTTTATGTAATTGATTGCCTCCCCATAAAAATATCAAGGGTCTCAATTTTGGAACGGAGAAGATAGATTCCAGGGCAACATATTTTTCACATAAGGGAGGCTGCTTGCATTGCATGTTTGGAAATCATTTATTGTTATTATTTTTTCTTTGGTCTTCTAATGCCTTGTACATTGATTAAATTGTTTCCAGGAACTGTATTTATTTATTAGAATTGTAGACATTGTTAAGCGACTTAATGGAATAGGGTATTCTTGTAGACTGAGAAATGTGGTTCTGGAATTGTGGCGGATGAAGATATTAAGCAAGGAGAATTTGTGATAGAATATGTGGGAGAAGGTGACTTCCTTAGTCCTTTTTTGCTCTACATATCAGTACATGCAGCTTGTTTTATGTTTGAAAGTTATCGTCTTACCAAAAATATCATTTGAAACCTATTAATCAATGCTGTTTCTTTGTACAGTTATTGATGACAAAACATGCGAGGAAAGGCTATGGAATATGAAACACCGTGGAGAAACAAACTTTTACTTATGTGAAATCAATCGAGATATGGTTATTGATGCCACATACAAAGGAAACAAGTCGAGATATATAAACCATAGTTGTTGTCCTAATACTGAGATGCAAAAATGGTCTTCTACTTGACCTTGTTACTGATTTTTAGGTCATTTTGTAGTTAATACTATATCTTACATGTATTCCTTGTTCTTTTCTTTGAAGGATAATCGATGGCGAAACAAGAATTGGTATATTCGCAACTCGTGATGTAAAAAAGGGAGAACACCTGACCTATGATTATCAGTATGAACACATGCATAACCCTTTAATTTAATGCTTTACTAATTGATGCATGTTTTTCTAGAATCATCATGGACTTCCTTTGCACTAAAACTATTGCTAGATGTGAAACTTTGTATTCCTCTAGTCCGGTCTAATAAATTTAGCAGGTTTGTTCAATTTGGTGCAGATCAAGATTGCCATTGCGGTGCACGTGATTGTCGGCGAAAACTTGGTGTCAGACCTACCAAGCCAAAGATGTCATCAGTTGCTGCTTTGAAACTAGTAGCATGTCAGGTGGCTGTGTCCTCTCCCAAATTGAAAGCAATTCTTTCTGCTAAAGACGTATGTACAAGTGTCTCTGTTTACTTCTAACAGAAATTTATATGTTTTGAAAATCACCACCAATCTGCCAAAGCCCTACAAAGTTTTGCTGCTAATTTAAACGATCATTTAAAGTTTGATGTCATAGACCATTTTGGTGTAATCACCATTCAATTAGTTCTAGATGGTCCTTATTGAAACAGGTTGGACAATTTTTGATTTTTATCCTTCCCTCTTGCAAATTAAGTGGCATATTGTAGAAATGAAAACTTTTGCATTGCTAGCATTTTAATTCTCATTAGTGCCTAGTTTCCCTCCCAGCACACTAACTCTCCTAATTTCACCTACCCATACTGGATATAAGTTGGTTATGACTAATATACTGGAGGATAGATGTCTGAAATCAGCTCCAAGAGTTGCTGCTGAAATGTTTCTGTGTTGGCTATAATTTATTGTATTTGTTAACTTTGTAAAGTTTTTAGCTGTACAAATGACTGCCTTTTTTTCTTTTGTAATAATTATATTTGAAGTTCTGCAAACTTGGACTAATTGTGGGACTCTTTTCTGGAAAAGGTTTATCAGAACGGGGGTCTACATATAGGTGAGCTTTTTTCTATTATGTATTTATTGCTTTTTACTAGTGTTTCAAAATTAATGATAACTATTTGAAACTCTTGTTTCACATCCTCTTGTCCGTTAGGAAATTCACAACCTTTCCATAACCAAAGAGGTACACGTTCTTGTAATTGCATTGGTGAAGTGATTCGAATAAGTCGCCCCACGAATCAGAGGTAATTTCAGAATATCTATGAATCTTTTCACTTTAGAGTAGTGCTTCATATTCCTCAATGTGTTATGCACTGGTGTTAGTTGTTTTATTTTATGTGCAATACAAAGAAAAAATATTGTGAGTTCCTCCTGCTTCTAATCTGGGGAATTCTGAAAACTAACTCCCTCATGATACTAAAATCATGGGTTTGATTTAGTGGCCTTCTGATGTTGCCAAGGTTGCTGATCTTCACTACCTCAAGAAAGTTTAAAGATTTTACGAAAACCAAACAAGAGGTGGAAATTGGAGAAAATGTATTTGTTATGGGAACAATAGGAAAACATTAGGGATCATAAGAGATCTGAAAATTTATTTTGGAGCAATAATAGATGTGAAATGGACAGCGTCAAATGTCAATGCCTTCATGGCTCTATGTGTGTGTTTGTGATGTTTACGGTCAAAAGATTTTTACAAGTTTCTCAGTTGGAACAATAGCCTTATGTTGATGTCTTCTCTGTTGAAGTTATTTATAATTGATTTGTGCTGCTTTTTTTTTCTTTTTTTTTTCTTTTTTTCCATTTTCTATACATATCTGTTGATGCTCTAAATTCTGAGGTTACATGTTATTTAATTAAATCTGCTGATGCTGAATATTATTCTTTATTTTCCAATGTTTCAGATCCTTTGGGATTATCAAGCGGTTTGATAGATATTCCAAAAAACACTCAGTAAGAGATGAATTACCTTTTAGAGAGAGAACAATAAAATGTTATTATTGTAATAAATTAAGATATTGAAAATGGACCTATTTTTTTGGTTGCAGATCATGTTTGAAGATGGTGGCATCGAATTCCTTGACATGTCAAAAGAAGAATGGGAACTTGTAACACTGTGATATGATTGTGAGGCAAGTGCAAATTATTCCTTTATTAATGCATCTTATATCCTCATCCTCAGCCCCTTGTTCCCAAATTTTATCCATACGATGTCTCACACTCGTGTTTGCTAACTCTTTGCACTTTCTATGCAAAGTTGTCATGAGAATTAAACAAAACCTATGATATGAGAGGGCTGTTCTTGTTTTGTTTGGTCAGGCATGACCACTGGGTTCTACCAGTACCAAGGCTAGATCTACTACTTAATTCGGTATAAGCATACATACTGATACGTACATACTTACATATGGCCTGTTTGACTATAATATAGTTTTTAAGGGTTTTTTTCTTTTCTTTTTTGGGTACTGGGAAGGGGAGAGGTTTTGGGGGTTCTGTGGTGAGATTGGGAGGACAAAATTTTAAAGAAATGCATTGCATCTTTGATTTTGCATGGATGTGTTGCCGTACCTCCACTTCCATTTTAATGGAGAATTTGCAACATGCACTTATTTCAGACATATAGTTTTGTAGGTTTTATATGAACTTCAAAGGAGTTGCTGGAGTTGGGGGGCCCTGGCCACATCAGGCCTATGTGTGGTTCTGTCCATGACTTTATCGACATTTGTGTTCATGTATCCACTTGAGCCTTGTGTTAAATAAAAAATAAAATATAAAAAAAGTCTTGTATATTCATTTGCTGGTACTAATAGTTTTAAATGTGCAATGTTTGATGATATATTTTGTTTCGGTGCTTATTTTCATCATGAAGGATTCTGCTGAAGCAAGGATGACGTGTGGTGGTCCGCAATCGTAACATGTATGACAGTATGTCCATATTCCTTTCTGAGGCATGGCTAATAATTGCTTTAAACTGAATGCACAACTTGGTCACCCTGATATTTATCTTTGTTCTGTCACAGGTACCCAATAACTAAAGTTAGTGAACGCTGATTTAGATTTCAATCTGCTGTCTCATTAAACAAAGGATCAATTCTTTGCAATGCATGTTGTAACAAATGTACCAAACCTAAGTGATAATAAAGCCCCCCCCCCCTCCCTAAAGAGAAAAAAAAAGAAAAGAATCAGAGGTGTTAATCTCGCAAAGCAAGTATTTTATATTCCTTGCATAGGGCTGATGAGGATGTTGTATTAAATATATTCTGCACCTTTTCTTTTCTTTTCTTGTTTGGATAATAAGTATGCGTCTGTTCTAGTTTAATAAGAGATTATTGTTGTGGTTAGAAGTGTTTGACTAGACAGACTATGGAAATGCGAAAGCTGAGTTATGAAAGCCACACCAACACAACACACATAGCGACAGTAGGAGGGTTTACTTTCAACTTAAGACAGTTGAAATTGGTTGGTGTTGTGCGCTGGTTAACTTTCTTTGGATCTGCGTGGTCACATTAGAATTCAGTGAATGAGTTTCTTTTGTTCTGATAAATAATTTTGGTTTCTCACTGCGTCAAGTGATCGTTTCATCGTCTGCAAGTGATGGGTAGATTAATTAATTTAATTTTAGGCTGGTTGGATATTCGCATCGTGCTTGGTACGATACACCAACTGTTGGATCAGATCAGAAAGAGAGCAGAACTAACTGTTGAACATAAAAGATATCCCATGCTCTCTCTCTCTCTCTCTTTCTCTCTCTCAGGAGGGACACTGCCCACTCCACTGGCGGATTAAATGCTTTTTGTTTGTTTTCGTGGGCCGGAAATATACAACTGAATTGTTTTTGGGTAGCTCGGTCTCTTTGAGGTATTTATTGAACAGTTTACACTTACATGAATTTGCTATTTCTGGCCAATAAGCCAATAATGAAAAAGTTGTCACTCGTTTCGTAATTTTATTGGGCAAAAGTGTTGTCACTATGCAAGAGTGTCTGAAGAGGAGAAAAGGATCAGCTGAGTTTTGGGCCAAAATCATGGGGAAAACTCTGATGTGCGGAACGAGAGACCCCACGACTTACATGATGAATCCTCCAGCAGGAACGCATCAAAGATGAAAGAAAAAAATATCTGAACAAAAACAAGCTATTATATATATATATAAGAGGACGCCGAGAAATTGGAGAAGTTTACAAGAGGCGAGGAGTGGAAGGAGTAGGTGTGGTAGGTCGCACGCCACCAACCCAACTCAGGCCCAAGCAAACGTGTTCGCCGTTTTCTGAGTGCCAGTGAGAGTGGTGGGACCGAGGAAGTAGACAAGGATGTGAAATGGTTGGTGGGTCGGTTTTGACAGTGAAGTTTTATTTGGTCACTGTATGTATATTTGCAAACGGTTACAATCAGTCCCTTTCGTCTCTTTCATATGAGAGCATCTACAGTGGGGGGTGTAAATTCGGGAGTGTAAAGTTATTTTTACATCCTTTTTATATCTTCGGGGGGTGTAAATATGTTTTTTGCTCCAGTAAGAGGGTGTAAATTTGGGGGTGTAGCCGTGGGTCCCAACCTTTTATGTTAACTTTTCTTCATTTTTCTTCTCTTTTCTCGAGTGGGTCCCCGCTAACAAGGGATGTAAAAATAGATGTAAATATACATTCTATTTTATATCTCCATGGTAGTGATGTATATTTACATCCATTTACATCTCCCCATTAGAAACCATTCCTGTAACTCGGAGTGTATATTTAACATACACCCCCCCATTGTGGATGCTCTTAAAATATTAAAACATTTATTAACTCATTAAATTAATATATATATATATATATACGTACTTAAAAAAACTTAAAATTCATTTTATTAATGATTAAAAATATTTTTTTATTTAAAAAAAAGCCTTCTACTTGTCCAACGAACGCAAGCCCGCTGAGGCGGTGTTCGCCGACTATCCCTTGATACAAGAACAGTGGAGGGTGGGTTGTTGATGGGGTAGGTGTCGCTGGGCTGCAATTGGTTGTGGCCGTGGTAGGTGGGCTGGTGTTGGGTGCATCAAAGCAGTGAGTGGGGAATTAACGAAAAATGCAGCACACTGACCAAAATAAAACTTCAAAATTCAGTGACGAAAAATGGTATTCTATCTTTTTGTGAAGAAAAAAAAAGTATTCTACCCTCTGTTATTCTTTGAAAAACTTAGCAGTCACCTACCTAGACTAATCCAATCCATTGTCCACTGAATTTCCAATTTTAGTTTTCAACCTCCTAAACTTTCATGGCATGTTTACTAATCAGTAATTAGATTATGAAGAATTGAATTGAGGATGAATTGAATTGAGGAGGAGTTGAATTGAGGAGAATTAGATTCCGGATTCCTAATGAAGTTGTTTACTAAACCATATGGATTGAAGGGAGTTAGATTCCGAATTCCTATTGAAGTTGTTTACTAAACTATATGGAATTGGGGTAGGAGTGGTATTAATTACTAAAATGTCATCATTTTTGGGCTAAAGTAGATGACATAATTGGAATTTTGAAAATTGTGTAAGGATATAATGGGTAAAAAAAATGAATTCCTAATGGGTGAATTCTCCAGGAATTAGAATATCACCTCTCATTCTGGAATTGAATTCCTCCAAAATCATGAATTCAATTTCTAACTTTGTGTGGGCTCCGCTTACTTTTCAATTCCTTGATGTGAAGTAAACGAATGAATTCTCTATAGGCGGAATTCCAATTCCTGATTAGTAAACACACCACCAAAGTGTTCTGATTACAGTCAAATCCATTAAATTTTAGTGTTGGTCACAGCTGCGGATGTGATGCATTTTCGAGGGTATTTTTGCCACTGCATACAAAATTCTTTGGAATGAAGGGAGGGTAGTTTGGCAGACCTTAAGCTGCGAATGATTGGACAAAATTGCCCCTCCAAGTGAGGGGCACATGACAAGAAACTAACAGAAGTTGCATACATTTGACAAAAACTCAATTTTTGTTATTAAATTGCTCGAAATTGAAAGTATAAAATTGACCAAATTGAAACGATATGACCAAAGTGATAAAAGTGACAAACTATATAGACTAAAAGTGACTTTTTTCCTTATTTATTTGTTGGTGCGGGTGGTTTAACAGTCTTTTCTGAGACTAGGGGTTTGAGAAGGGAGTAAAGAAGAAAGAAGGGAATGGGGGTTGGTGGGGGCTCCTATCCTATAATAAGAGAAAGGGGGGGTGAGGGGAAATGCCACCACATTGCATTGTCCTTTGATTTGTTGCAAATCTAATCTGGCTCTAAATTTAAATGAATTTTTTTTATGCATCATTCTTAGTTATAGTTAATATAGAGCCATAGGCTAAAAGTGTACCGTGTCGGTGACTCTCACTCTCAGTTTCTCTCTCTCTCTAAACTTGTTCCGGTCGAGTGGTTGGTGGGTGGGTTTCTTTCTCTAAACAAAAACAAACAAAAGCAAAAACAGGTCATTGCAGATCTATCCGAAAGGTAAGAGAGAGAGAGAGAATGAAGGTGATAGAGAAGATCCAGGAGGCATTGTTGGAGGAGAAGAAGGTTTTGTTTTCGTTCGAGTTCTTCCCGCCAAAGACGGAGGATGGGGTGGAGAACCTGTTGGAGAGGATGGAGAGGATGGTGGCCCACAACCCGGCGTTCTGCGACATAACGTGGGGTGCGGGTGGGTCGACGGCGGATCTGACGCTGGACATTGCGAACAAGATGCAGAACATCATCTGCGTGGAGAGCATGATGCACCTCACCTGTACCAACATGCCTGTCGACAAGATCGACCACGCCCTCCAAACCATCAAGTCTAACGGCCTCCAAAACGTTCTTGCTCTCCGGGGCGACCCGCCCCATGGCCAGGACAAGTTTGTTCAGATCCAAGGAGGCTTTGCCTGCGCCCTCGACCTGGTAATTCATAACTACTAAATAAATGCTATCTTATCTTATTTCAATTTTGTTTATTTCTGATAGATAGATGCCATATTTGTTTGGAGTTCATAATATTTGTCACCATTTCCCCAAACGGAAAACCAAAACGAAAAGAAAAGAGATCTCACATCTCTCTCGCTCTCTCATCTTTTGCCTGTTTGCTTGCTTACAGGTCACCCATATCAGAGCCAAATATGGTGACTACTTTGGCGTCACTGTTGCTGGCTATCCAGGTATACATACTTTACTCATTATTTCTTTATTTATTTAAATAGAAACGTTGTATTGATAAAGAGAAGGATAAGCAATCCTCCCCATCAAGGAGGATTCATTCTTGTCTTATCGGCTTTGTTGCTATTTTCTGTCTAAATTTAACATAACAATCACCAAATGGCTGGCATTGAAACCAGAGGCACACCCGGACGCCATTGGAACCGATGGCCTCGCCTCTCCCGAAGCCTATCAAAGTGATCTCGCTTATTTGAAGAGAAAGGTTGATGCTGGTGCCGATTTGATTATCACTCAGTTATTCTACGACACTGATGTTTTCCTCAAATTCGTCCACGACTGTCGCCAAATTGGAATTACTTGTCCTATTGTTCCTGGAATTATGCCCATTAATAACTACAAGGGATTCATACGCATGACTGGTTTCTGTAAAACCAAGGTACCTCTTCACTTTTCTCTTCTGCATTTATTTTTTCATTATTTATTATTTTTTTATTTCTTAACATCGTGAAATTCAAGTAGTATTCCAGAATAGGGCTAAAATTTGGGGAACTAAATTGGTTCAGAAATATTTTCTTGCCATATAAGTTATAACACTATGTGACTTGGTGTTGTGAACAAAACATGCGACATTCAAAAGTAGTCTGGCTGTTTATCTAGGACATGTTTGGCAACCTTACTATCCTGAAATTGAATATATGGTGTGATTTAGGCTTTTAAACTTCCATTTTTAAGGTTTAGGATTGTAGAAGAAGAAGTTTGGGGGTTTTTAGAATGATTTTGAGTTGGGTTGGGTTTAAGCAGCCATATAAAGGCTGATTCAAAGTTAAGGGAAAATCAAAACACTCATCCAACACTAGAGGGAAAAAAAATCCTGAACTCGCATTAATTCAGACTAGAGGTAAATTGATAGTTATAAAGTAGGAATTTTGTGAAAGCCCAGATCTACAAATATACGCTTATAAATTTTAAACTCAAGTCAAACACCGGTTTTTACCCTAGACATAGCCTTTGGATATAACCTACAGAACCATACGAAACCGTTAGTTACGCACATTGGCCTCACATAAAGAAAACAATGATAAATGCATTTGAAAGATACAAAGAACATAGTAACTTTATGCCATTTCCTTTGCATATTCAGCAGTTTTGCTTTATATATTAAATTAGTGCAATGTTTGCAATTATGGGATACTGTAGATACCAGCTGAGGTTACTGCTGCCTTGGAGCTTATCAAGGATAATGAAGAAGCTGTCAAATCTTATGGAATTCACCTTGGAACCGAGATGTGCAAGAAGATTTTGGCTCATGGGATTAGGACGTTGCATCTTTATACACTGAACATGGAGAAATCAGCATTGGCTATATTAATGGTTTTTTCTCATACGTTTCTAATTGTCTCACTTCAGATGTATATAATACTCTTTGCATGATTAACACTTACTACCAAATCTGATCCCTTCTAAACATACTACCTTGGCAGAATCTTGGTTTGATTGAAGAGACCAAAATATCAAGGCCTTTACCTTGGAGACGTCCTGCAAATGTTTTCCGTGTTAAAGAAGATGTTCGTCCAATATTCTGGTAAGCAATCCAACTGTTGTCCCCCCACCCCCAACAGAAAGAAAAAAAAACAGAAACAAGAAAACAAAAAAGGATGTAATTAACTTCTTGTACATCTTTCAAAATTTCTAATCGTCCTAGCAAATGGTGGTAGGGCTAATCGTCCCAAGAGCTACATATCAAGGACCATAGGCTGGGACCTTTATCCACATGGGCGATGGGGTGATTCTCGTAACCCTTCATATGGAGCACTAACTGATTATCAGGTACATATAATCACACAAGTTTAATCTTGGCACCTATAATTTTGTGATAAATTTGGGTGGATCATTTTTTGTTTTTTTATCAAAAATTTTGAAGTAGTTAAATACGTAAACCTTCCCATGATGTTCCCTCAAAGGAAAATTTACTTGCAATCATAATCCATTTTATTTTCATTTGATTAACCACCGCTTGGCTGAGGCATACATCCTTTCTTATTTTATCCCTTTGCACTAGAATTGGTAGAGTTGGCTATGTACGACTTTTAAGTCATAATTTTCTCAACAGTTCATGCGGCCACGTGCACGCGACAAGAAACTTGTTGAAGAATGGGTTGTCCCATTGAGAAGCGTTGAAGATATCCATGAGGTGAAGTTTCCATCTCTGTGTGTTTTGTCTTCTGCATTGTCAGCAAATTAGATATAAATTGATGTATTGGAATTTCTTATATATCAGAAATTTAAGAAATTCTGCCTTGGCAAATTGAGAAGCAGCCCTTGGTCAGAACTAGATGGGCTTCAGCCAGAGACGAAGATCATAAACGAACTTCTAGGTAAAATTAACACGAAAGGTTTCCTTACCATCAACAGCCAACCAGCGGTAAATGGGGAAAGATCTGATTCCACGTCTGTTGGTAAGTAATAAGTATGTTTGTGAGTTTACGGTCATGACAATTATGTGAATATTTCAATTTGTATCTCATTTTTGTGAGCGTGGATTTATGATGAATTATTTGATTTTTATCATTGAGAGTTTTGGTCATGAGTCACTGAAGTCACTTAATGATTACAGGAGTGAGTCTTAATGGAGACATAAACTGACTTGAATTTGATGGCCTAAAAATTCCACATGATATGATTTTGTTTTCCATTCATGAAGATCAGATTGTATTACTTTTTTCAAAACTATAGCACAACATTGAGTTCAGAAAGGTGATCATAAATCCCTAATTGAGGTTTAACCATTACTAGTATTGCCATAATGGGGTTTCAGGTCTTTATAGAAATCTGCTTGAGCGCCAATTAAACATCTGTTTGGCTTTGAAGTATAGCTTTGTACTTCACAAAAATCTCCTCTTTTTTACTTCACTTCCCAACTAGTAAATTTTGTTATTTGGCTCGGTAAAAATTCTACCTCTCTCCCTCCCTCATAAAAAAGTTTTAACTAGTTTTTATTATATTTTAATCTTTCTATTTTTCTTCAAACTGATATTTAGATTTGATAATTATCCTCGAACCAGATCTAGAAACTTACCTATATATGTAGACTCTTAACATCTATTACTTGCTTCTCAGGCTGGGGTGGGCCTGGAGGATATGTTTATCAGAAAGCCTATCTAGAGTTTTTCTGTTCGAAGGAGAAGTTGGATGCTCTTGTTGAGAAATGCAAGGCTCTTCCATCTCTAACCTACATGGCCGTGAACAAGGATGGGAGATGGATATCTAATATTGGTCAGACTGATGTGAATGCTGTGACATGGGGAGTCTTTCCCGCAAGGGAGATAATCCAACCGACTGTTGTGGATCCTGCTAGTTTTATGGTTTGGAAGGATGAGGCATTTGAAATCTGGTCAAGAGGATGGGCCCGCTTATACCCTGAGGGTGACTCATCTAGGAAATTGCTTGAAGAGGTTTATTTTCTTCATTAGTGTCCCTTCTTGCTTATTGACATAATTATGATTTTAATTGTTGAAACGTATACCTACTACACAGCCCTGCAGACACCTTTCTACTCAATCTTTTGATTAGCATTGAGTTTAGTAATGCTGACGTGATGTTCTCTTGACTATTGCAGGTCCAGAACAGCTGCTTCTTGGTCAGTTTGGTAGATAATGACTATATCCAGGGTGATGTTTTTGCTGTTTTTGCTGATTTCTGAATGAGCTATTTTGTCAACTCTTCCATTTCTTAAAGCCGCATAAGCCATTAAACTGGTGCTTTCATTGTAAGTCGGATTATAAGTTTATTGTAATTGGGATGTGTAATAATAACTCATTGGGATTTTGAGATCTCCCCCGTGTCATGTGCAAATAGCATCTGCGTTCGTGATTGATTACTGGTCTGTATCAGAGTTCATCAATGTCTGGCTTAATTGATACGACCATCTTGTGTGTTTGCTTCCAGTATGTGCTTTGCGGCAATGGAATCCGCATTTTAATGACATTTAAATTAATAGGTGGTCTTTTCTCTTTATTAATGTCATTTGTCAAAGTACTTGACATTTACATGATTGGTAATTATCTTATTTAAAAGAAACCGGTGTTCAGAATAGTTATTTTGTTTTGTTTTTGGTTCAGAAATTATTTCACAACTGTTTATATAGAACCATACCACATATCAGAATACAACAAATCAATGTAGATAACAATTTGGTTTCAAAATTTTCAGGATTGTGTTAGCAATTGTAGAGAATCAGGAAACTAACGAAGTATCACTCTCACCCTCTGAGATTGTGAAAGGTGGTAGATCCGTCATATAATGTCAAAAAAGAAAGAGAAAAAAAGAGGTTCTGAAAATGCATGCATAATGAATCCAGCTTTTAAGTCACATATAAGCAATAGATCAACACAATAAGTCATTTATTATTCCCGCAAGTGGATCAGCACAGCAAATTCAAATTTTGCTACGCAGAGCACAGATGCTCAGCCAGCCAGTCCTTTCTCAAACCTTCTCCGAGGTTGCAACTTGCAACAATATGAAATCGAATTAGGGATGGCTTGAATATTATTAAGTCAATGAGATTGATTCATTACCTACCGATCCAGAAAAGCTTGTATATCATGGGAATAGTAATTTTTTGTTATCCTAACTAATCACGTTTTATCAGGCGTAATAATTTTTTTGACAAAAGGTGATTGAATGGAGCCAACAAAATAGTGTTATTACCGTAACATACAAGTTATTCTTCCTACCCATCTGATTCACGTTCATCCATCACATAACCGGGACATTACTCTTCTACGTTGTCAAACACGCAGGATGGAGACAGGACGCGCGGTATGAGATAGGAGACAATAGAAGCTTCCAAACGAAATAAATAAATATTCATAAATGAGAAGGACATGTTTTTGAAGGAATTTGACAAAGTAGTATATACTATTATTTGTCTTCACTGACAGACAGGGCAGATTGAATCGGATGGATTGGAGTATTTGTCCAGTTTGGCTTCTTTAAAAAAAATTCTATCTCCTGTTGCTTTCTCCAAAGTCTCCCTTGTTTTTTACGCCCACGTCTTCCGCGCGACTAAGAGGCCCTTGTGGAATTTCCTCCTCCTTTCCTTTTTTCTTTAATTTGATCGAAAAATATTAATACAGGACTGCAACGTCAAGAGTGAACACAAAGAACGAACAAGACTGCAGGTCTGGAACTGACTGGGAGGGAGTCCACCACCTCACCTCCCATCTCCTCCACAAAACGAAAGGAAGGCGCGCAGAGAGAATGAAGCCAACCACAAAACGAAATTATGAGAAATGCGATTTGTAGTAGCAGGTAGGCCAAGATAAGCTAAGCTGCTTTACAGCTCCTTCCTCCTAATTCCCTTCCTTGATATAATATTATTATTATTCTCACTCCTCATCACAATCCGCCCGCCGCCCGCGACATATATATTAGCCAGCCAGCCAGCCTTAACTCACCTGGCCAGGCCTAAGGCCTTTGTTCCTGAATCCTAATAACGTACACTAATTAATTATTTTTTTACAGATCAAATTACTTATTACTCTAAGCAAGTATTTAGACTACAGTACTGAGACAGAGACAGACAGACAGACGGAGCCGCCTCATAGCTGGAGCTGGGTATAATATATATATATATATACATATATAATATGTTGGTTTGTTTCTTAGGGTAGGTAGCTTAAGCTTAGGTAGGAGTGTCTGCAGAGCAGGCAGGGGTGAGGAAGTCAGGGAGAGGGTTTGGAAAGAATTGGAATTTGGAATTGGATGGCAGCGCAAGGAGGAACAACGTTGGAGCACACGCCGACATGGGTGGTGGCTTTGGTGTGTAGTGTCATAGTGCTTATATCCCTAGCCCTCGAGAGAATCCTTCACTACACTGGCAAGGCATGCATCCTCCCCATCCACTCTACACATACACACCCACATATATTCTCATCTCGATTTGTAACTATTAATATATATAATTTAATTGTTTGTTTGCAGTATCTCAAGAAACAGAACCAGAAACCTCTGTTTGAGGCCTTGCAGAAGATCAAAGAAGGTCTTCCTTTCCTTGTACCTCACTCATCCAATCCACTCCAATTCATTCAATATAACATGTATATCAGTGATCAATCATATGATGGTGAATTGGTGATGCAGAGTTGATGCTTTTGGGGTTTATATCACTGCTGCTGACGGTGTGCCAAGATCGTATAGCCAAAATCTGTATAACGGAGAAACAGGCTAGTCAATGGCTGCCTTGTAAGAAAGAAAAACAAGAGACCACTAATAGTACTACTGCCCATTTCCAGACCTTGTTTACTACTTCCTTTCTTCCCTGGACTACTTCCACTGCTACTACTACTGCCCGTCGCCTACTTGCTGACGACTCTGATTCTGCTGGCTGTCCGGAGGTATTCATTTTCTTTTTCTTCTTTCTTTTTTAGACAGGGTGCATAGTTGGAGGGAGTTGAGTTTTAAAACTTGTCTCCAAGTTCTAACTTAAAGCTCTTTGAGAGAGAGACCATTCGAATGCTGGTGCTCAATTATTATCTTTTATTTGATTATATGTAGTCTTTAACCCACCCGCGTCTTCTGGTCAAATGAAATTGACTAGATAACACCGGATCTCTTGAAAATTGAAATGACCTGATCATCAAAACTCCACCAAACTAACTTGTAATTAAACAACAAGATTGATTGATTGATTGATTCCTTCCTTCATGTTGCACCATGCCAATGCCATTATGCCACCAATTAATTTTTACTTTTTTTTAATTTAAATTTTTCCAGGGGAAGGTCCCATTGTTATCCACCACTGCATTGCATCATCTTCATATCTTCATCTTTGTGCTGGCTGTGGTGCATGTGACTTTCTGTGTTCTAACCATTCTTTTTGGAGGGGCAAAGGTAACATCCTTAGTTTAATTTCCTATTCGTGTCTGTCTAATCGACTCATTCTATAGCAGCGACATTTTCCGTTTCATGTTTTCTCAATGGAGTAGATACGTCAATGGAAACATTGGGAGGATTCTATCGCAAAAAAGGAGTACAACCCAGAAGAAGGTACCATTAGCTAATGTTAACTTACATCATTCTTTATAATTAATTTCACATTGGGAGGAAGTGCTTCAACTTCTAATTGATTCTGGAGTGCTTTTTCTTCTTTTTGGAATATATATTATGTGTGCAGTTTTGACAAAGAAGTTCACGCACGTTCAAGATCATGACTTTATCAGGGGTCGCTTTCTTGGTATTGGAAAGAATTCAGCTTTTCTAGGCTGGTTGGTGAGTCATATGATATATATCATCCTTCAGCATCAATCAGCAATGTTGCATAATTCTCTCCGTCTGTCTGTCTGTCTGTCTGTCTGTCTCATGGCTCTTTTCTTATCCAGCATGCGTTTTTCAAGCAATTTTATGGGTCTGTGACCAAAACAGATTATATGACAATGCGATTAGGCTTCATCAGCGTAAGTTATTTTATTTATTTATGCATCCTCTTTTCTCTCTGCGCTATCACACGTTTTGAATGTTTCCACAAAATTCCTGTTTCAAATTTTGAAGTAATTCTCCCGTAGACCCATTGCAGGGGGAATCCAAATTTTAATTTCCACAAGTACATGATACGTGCCCTTGAAGCAGATTTTAAGAGAGTCGTTGGAATAAGGTTAGTTTCAATTTTACAAGATCATTCACATCATGCTCATAGTTTCACTAGTTGCATCTTTTTGGTAGTTACTAGTTAGCTCACTGCCTTACTCTTTGAGGATGAGTTGCAACCTAGAAGCCACAGGCTTGAAGCAGGAAACAGCGCATCTCCCTCTCCTCGAACAGGGAGAAGTCTGCATTTATCTGACCCTCTACATACCCTGCAATGGCTGGAGCCTCATTGGCAGAGCTGCACTTACTAGTTACTACTGCCTTACTCCTTCCCATCCACAACATAAAAATACCTTAAAGATATAATCAAGCACATCAAGTGCAGGCATGGGAGATTTATACTTCTATAGTCTAAAATCGTTTGTTTCAGGGTTTTACAAAAGTTTAGAATCATGTCTTTGGACTGTTCTCTCTGTTCATAAAGCATACTACTGTGTCATTAACTTGTTAATTATCATTTACAGTTGGTATCTTTGGATCTTTGTGGTCATCTTCTTGTTGCTGAATGTCTCGGGTAAGCTTTTAACTTTCGGTTTATTTTTGGGTTTGTAATGACTACGTCATTATTTTTATCCTGTTGTTCTTACAACTTTGCACTGTTGTTCTGCAATGTTTAGTTAGAATGGAAATGAGATATTGGTCAGCACGTTGTACAACTCATTTGCCTACAATAAGATCCTCTGTCTCTGCCTTGAAAGTGAAATAGATATTTTGTGGCAGAGATCTTGAGTTCTTAAGCACTTGACACATCAAATGAGATTAGAATTATCTTAGTTTTATTGACAAGAAGTTCCTAGAACTGGAGTTGAACACAATCCACCTTATAGATATACCCTCATCTTCATTTGCATTTTTGACCTGGTGCATGAAGATCATTACCGCCACTTGTGATGTTTCTATGCAGGTTGGCATGCCTATTTCTGGATAGCATTCATTCCGTTCATTGTAAGTTTGACAAATATATACTTGTAATATAGTGCTGGTTTTGTCTTTATCACACTGCCAACACCTGTGTTGTTTGGATTAGACTTACCTGCAGCTCTGCCACTGCCCCATGCTTCTTAGCACAAGTCCAAATTTCAGTTTATATATACGTATGTTGATGATGATGATTATCTTATTTCTTTGTTTATGGTCATCTCATCTATAATTAAAGCTACGCGATGCATGAGGTCTCTTTTTGCTCCATAGTCTTCTTTTTCAGATCATATATTTGTTTCTTTTTAG